AATGATTTGATTGTGTTTTTGAGAGGAATCTTGTGTTTTTGAGAACAGTCTTGTGTTTTTGAGAACAGTCTTGTGTTTTTAAGAACAGTATTGTGTTTTTGAAAACAGTATTGTGTTTTTGAGAGTAATCTTGTGTTTTTGAAAACAGTATTGTGTTTTTGAGAACAGTATTGTGTTTTTGAGAACAGTCTTGTGTTTTTGAGAACAGTCTTGTGTTTTTAAGAACAGTCTTGTGTTTTTAAGAACAGTCTTGTGTTTTTGAGAACAGTATTGTGTTTTTAAGAACAGTCTTGTGTTTTCGAGAGGTTTAGTGATGGTAGCAATGTCATATAGAATAGTTTGTGACATGGTGGATACCGGAACTAGAATTGTTCTACTGCGACACCAGTATATTCGTTGATCAAATGTAAAAGAGCACCAGTTGTGACTTCACTAGATGCAGGTATTCCTCCGATACTATGAGAAAACAATATATATTAAACTCAAAATAACAGTGAAAATTAGTGTTACACTCATATACAAGATAATTAACCCGGAACAATCATTCCAATTACAATATAAATAATAAAATATGTCAAGACAATGCTCTGTTTGGTTGAAATACATTTCCATTTCTATATCTATACTGACTTTAAGAAGGCATTTCTAGATGAACTGAATATACAAACATGGTCCACTGTTGTACTAGTGTCTGTTTATAGAAACACCAGACATCACCTAACTCTGGGTTATATTCTAGAGAGTGGTCCACTGTTGTTCTCTTGGCTCTTTATAGAAACACCAGACATCACCTCACCCTGGGTTATATTCTAGAGAGTGGTCCACTGTTGTTCTCTTGGCTCTTTATATAAACACCAGACATCACCTCACCCTGGGTTATATTCTAGAGAGTGGTTCACTGTTGTACTATATTATCTGTTTATAGAAACACCAGACATCACCTAACTCTGGGCTATATTCTAGAGAGTGGTCCACTGTTGTACTATTGTCTGTTTATAGAAACCCCAGACATCACCTAACTCTAGGTAATATTCTAGAGAGTAGTCCACTGTTGTACTATTGTCTGTTTATAGAAACACCAGACATCACCTAACTCTAGGCTATATTCTAGAGAGTAGTCCTCTGTTGTACTATTGTCTGTTTATAGAAACACTAGACATCATCTAACTCTGGGCTATATTCTAGAGAGTGGTCCACTGTTGTACTATTGTCTGTTTATAAAAACACCAGACATCACCTAACTCTAGGCTATATTCTAGAGAGTAGTCCTCTGTTGTACTATTGTCTGTTTATAGAAACACTAGACATCACCTAACTCTGGGCTATATTCTAGAGAGTGGTCCACTGTTGTACTATTGTCTGTTTATAGAAACCCCAGACATCACCTAACTCTAGGTAATATTCTAGAGAGTAGTCCACTGTTGTACTATTGTCTGTTTATAGAAACACCAGACATCACCTAACTCTAGGCTATATTCTAGAGAGTAGTCCTCTGTTGTACTATTGTCTGTTTATAGAAACACTAGACATCACCTAACTCTGGGCTATATTCTAAAGAGTGGTCCACTGTTGTACTATTGTCTGTTTATAGAAACACCAGACATCACCTAACTCTAGGTAATATTCTAGAGGGTGATCCATTGTTGTACTATTGTCTGTTTACAGAAACACCAGACATCACCTATTATATTTTTGAGGGTGGTCCACCAGATATTAAGTTAGGTTACGGTGTTTTTTGTTGTTATTTATATGCGTGTGTTGTAGATTTAACCGATTTATGCTTTCCAGTTAAGTCTTTATAACATTACAAACTAACTGACTGAAAAACAATTCTTCTGTACTTTTCAAATCATTGACTGCCACAAAAGTTGCCAAAGAATCTGTTTAAGGAAATTCAGGAGCGTTGGAGGGCGTAATAGACCAAAGTGGAGTTGCAGAAATTCTGAAGTCCGCAATGCCGTCGTGGCTGAAAACAGCGAAATTAACTGAAGATATTGTCCTATCTGATGGATTTCGAACTAGTCTTGTACATGTATCAAGGATGCTACACTCTGTCAATGTTGGCAGTTTGTGTAATAGAAATAATGATGATAATATTTTAATGATTCTGATGTATATTCCAGACTTCTGGGTGTTGTAAATCATATCAAAGACTGATAACAAAATATTTTGGCAACTTGCGACCCACTTATCTTTTCCTGGGGATCCTCTGAGTCGA